TCAGGAATGGGTAGCGGGAGGCTATGGACACGGACCGATGGGCAGCGGGTGGATTGGGTCAGGAGAATCTTACCAATGAATGTCTCTTAGCCTGTTGGCCTTCCCTGGCATATGATCCCATCTCATTTCCCCACGCTATTCATGGGATCGGGTGTAATAACAGGCGCCGGCCCGGTGTGCGGCCCTCCGTGCTGATGCAATGCAGATGGTAATGCAGATACGGTGCTCAGACAGTCGATGCTGCGTCTATTGTGCCTTATCTGTCCGGATATCGGGTGTCCTGTTCTCTCCGGCCGTCTTGTCTCCTGTTCTCTCCGAGCGTCTTGTCTCCTGTTCTCTCTGGATATCTTGTCTCTTGTCCTTTCCGAGAGTTTTGTCTCCTGTTCTCTCCGAGCGTATTGTGTCCTGTTCTCTCTGGGCGTCTTTGTCTCCTGTTCTCTCCGAGCGTCTTGTCTCCTGTTCTCTCCGGATGTCTTGTCTCCTATCCTCTCCAGGAGATTTGTCTCCTGCTCTCTCCGGACGTCTTGTCTCCTGTTCACCCCGGCCGTCTTGTCTCCTGTTCTCTCCGAACGTCTTGTCTCCCGTTCTCTCCGGATGTCTTGTCCCCTATCCTCTCCGGGAGATTTGTCTCCTGTTCCTTGTCTCTTGTTCTCTCGGGCGTCTTGTCTCTTGTTCTCTGCGGGCGTCGTGTCTCCATCCAGTTCCCAGCGGCGCTGCGTCAAGCTGTGTACCGGCAAGCCACGGACTTGCTTTGGCACCTGCATGACAGTCTGACCTTTGGCCCGGCGTCTGACCCCGCCCTGACCTTTAGCACGGGCAGTGAAGGTCGACAGATACGCGATCTTGGTGACTTGTGCGGCGGACGGTAGCGCAGGCTGAGCCGGCCGGCGCCGCCGACATCGGCAGCGACCCCGGGCCGGTCTTCCGAATGTCGGCGCTCTATTGAGCGGGCTGACGCGGCCGTTTTGGTCCGCGCCGCGGGGCTTTTGAGAGCCCTCTCGAGACGGACAGCAGTTGAAATGGTCTGGGCCGCTTTTGTGCGGCGCGTGCGGGCTGGACGTTTTGGGACGATTTGTCCACGGCGGTGCCGTGATGAGACACTACGGGGCCAAAGACATGCTCTCAGGCCCGGTGTCAATCAGCTGTAATGTTCGTCGTCAGCGGCCCGCCGCATTCGCAGCCAAATGGCTTCAGTGTTACGGTACCTCCAGAAAACTGTTATTTCAGTGCACGATCTCGGGTCTGGCGAATATTCGGTGGCGGTGGTTTATTCTACATAGTACCACTCGGCCAAGCTTTTCCAGCAAGCTACACTTAAGCAGTCACTTTGGTGCCATTTGTAGTAATATGCCTGGAGACAAAGCCCCGTGGGTTCTCGCAGAATTGCTCGAAGTAGTGTATCCCAGCGATGGATCAAAACCCGGCGCGCCGCTGACTTCCGCGTGGCGACCAGCCGAGCCGGGCAGCCGCTCTGCTCGCTCCGGCGTCAGCCGGCCAGCTCGGACCTGCCGTCGCTGACGCTGACTTGACTCGGGCCGCCCGCGGCTCCACCGCCGGCGGCCGGGGAGCCGGTCCGGGCCCGGCCGGCGGCCGCGACGAATGAATATGAATGGGGCCGGCGGGGAACGGCGGCTGGTAGAGCGCTGATCTGCCGCTCGGCCACCGGGCAGCCGCTGCAAACAGCGCCGCGGCCGCGGCCGCCCAGTTGCGATCAATGGCGCGGCCTGGCGCCGAGCCGGCCCCCGCGACAGGGTCTGTGTCCCACGACAGGGTCTGTGTCCCGCGGCAGGGTCTGTGTCCCGCGACAAGGTCTGTGTCCCGCGGGAGGGGTCTGTGTCCCGCGCCGGGGTCTGTGTCCCGCGACAGGGGCCTGTGTCCCGCGACAGGGGTTTGTGTCCCGTGACAGGGTCTGTGTCCCACGCGACAGGGTCTGTGTCCCGCGGCAGGGTCTGTGTCCCGCGCCAGAGGTCTGTGTCCTGCGACAGGGGTTTGTGTCCCGTGACAGGGTCTGTGTCCCGCGGCAGGGTCTGTGTCCCGCGACAGGGGCCTGTGTCCCGCGACAGGGGTTTGTGTCTCGTGACAGGGTCTGTGTCCCGCGACAGAGTCTGTCCCGTGGTGGAGATGTGTCCCGGGATAAGGGCTACTCCGCGGCGGGGGTCTGTATCCCGCGACAGGGGCCTGTGTGCTGCGGCAGGGACCTGTGTCCCGCGGCAGGAGTCTTCGTCCCTCAACAAGGGTGTGTGACCCTCGGTACGGGTCTGAAGTTCCCGGTAGGAGTATATGTATCGGGGTACTGGTTGCGACTTTGTTAAGTGATCAGCACAGGCAGAGCGCCAGTACTGAACTGACAGACAGATGGTCTAGGTCTTGAATCCCGTCGGGATTTCGGGACGGTGTTCAGGTACGAGTGCGGTAGTCTAGCGCGCTGAGAGAACTGCCGATCGCGGTCGAAGGGCATTGTCTTACAGTTCCCAGGATCTGAAACCGAACTGGGCAAGTACCGGCACTACTCTGGGTACGCGTGGACGTGCTCCGCGACCCTGGAATGAAGCTTTGCTAACCGGTCACGTCTGGTTGAAGTGGTGCAGTTTGATCTCGGGCACAACTGCGTCAGTTTCTGTTTGTGGTCAGGCCGCCCTCAGGTCAGGTACCCTCGCTGGGTTGCCCTCTGAGCCTGTTCCATTATATTTGCTTTGGATGGGCCGCGCCAGGCAGGTGAGCACCCCGTGTTTTGTTGGGCCGCCCCACGTGATTGATTCTGACAGCGTTCGCAGCTCGCTAATAGAGTCCGGATTGCGTTACTTATACCGCGTGCTGTAGTCGTTGCGCCAGCAGCCGCCGAGCCCTGGCCTCGATAAGGTCATGGTCGGTCCCGGCCTGCTGCCAGGTCTTGATCGCCCGGTCTGCTGCCAGGCCTTGATCGCCCCGGTCTGTTGTTAGACCCCGGTCAGCCCTGGTCTGCTGCCAGGCCCTGGTCATTACCTGATCTGGTGTCAGACCCCGGCCATGACCTGATCTGCTGCCATGCCTGGTCGGTCCTGGCCTGCTGCCAGGCCTTGATCGCCCCGGTCTGCTGCCAGGCCTTGATCGCCCCGGTCTGCTGTTAGACCCTGGTCAGCCCTGGTCCGCTGCCAGGCCGTGGTCTGCTGCCAGGCACTGGTCATGACCTGATCTGCTACCAGGCCGTGGTCATGACCTGATCTGGTCTCGGACCCCGGCCAGGACCTGCACTGCTGCCAGGGTCTGGTCGTGACCTGCACTGTGCATGGTCTGGTTCATCGGTTGGCTCATGATCCGCTGATTCAGAAGCGAAGCACTTTTTCGCGATTCCATGCAAACGTGTCGCGGGTGTGTATGTCCTATGGCGTACCTCATTCGCCCTTGGTCCGACCTGCCTTCTGTTTCACAGTCTGTGCATTGTCGTCACACCTCTCCTTCCCTGGATGAATTGTAATTCATTTTAGCATCGAACACTGGACTTTGTGCCATTAAAGTCTCAACTATCCGAGCATTTGACACTTCTTCCATGTGAACGACCTGTCCCCGCCCCCCCCCCCCCTCCCCTCCTACCGTTCTTCCCATCTCATGGCTAATTCTCTCCAGGTAGCGCGCCGAATTTGGCGACTGGTGCTACAGTTCTGACATGTCCTGAAAAACTGCGCTGCTTTTCATGGCAGGGGCGGCTGCAGACGTGATTTATGCGGGACATGACAGGGCGTGGTATTCTCGGAGGCATGCATTAGCAAATTACGTCCTGCTGTTAATATCCGATGTTTGACTGTGCGAGGGCGTCATACCAGCAGATAGCTTATAAATAGCCGCTCGTCGTGTCTGGCGTGGACGAGATTGCCACTGGCGGATGCAGAGGGTTTGTAGGAGGCTAATGCCATGGTGGATTGATGTCGGTTGCGATGTTTGTGTGTGTTGTGGTTACCCTTCTGACGGTTTGTAGGGTTTGTAGGAGGCTAATGCCATGATGGATCGATGTCAGTTGCGATGTTTGTGTGTGTTGTGGTTACCCTTCTGACGGTTTGTAGGGTTTGTAGGAGGCTAATGCCATGGTGGATCGATGTCGGTTTCTATGTTTATTGTTTTTGTTGTGGTTACCCCTCTGACGGTTGTCATTATATTGCTACCCATGCAGTCAATACGCAACGGACACACAGCACAGATACGGATGAAGGTGGTGACGGGACTCGCAGTTTCGAAGCGTCCAGTGTGGCGGAGACGGAGGCATAAAGTCATCGGGCTGTTGCCCGGTAATACGTGAGGACGAAAAGCGGGGACTACGTTATGTAATTGATGATGATTATCAACGTTGCACCAGACATGCTTGTATTCTCGCTGTTGTCGTATATTCTACATCGGCTGGTCAGCATCGTCCTCCTGCCCCGCGCCGCGGCAACCTCGATGAGCAGCTGACTAAATGGAACGGTTGTGACAGGCGTGATTTCAAAGCATTTCAAAAGCGAGACATTATGCCACTCCAAACTCTTGTGATTTGCTCAGTATAAATACGCGCGTGCGTCAGCTGGTGCAACAGACGGTACACTCATTACATTTCTCAATAAGGCGCCAACTACTCGGTATTGCCATGGTGATACGGGCCCATGCGGGTAGATGTTTGACGCGTGGGCGTGCCTCAACAGCCTGACGCAGCAGTCGACGGGTAGAGGTGTGGCGCGTGGGCGTGCCTCAGCAGCCTGACGCAGTAGTCGAGGGGCAGAGGTGTGACGCGTGGACGTGCCTCAGCAGCCTGACGCAGCAGTCGAGGGGTAGAGGTGTGGCGCGTGGGCGTGCCTCAGCAGCCTGACGCAGCAGTCGAGGGGTAGAGGTGTGACACATGGACGTGCCTCGGCAGCAGTCGAGGGGTAGAGGTGTGGCGCGTGGGCGTGCTTCGGCAGCCTGACGCAGCAGTCGAGGGGTAGAGGTGTGACACATGGACGTGCCTCGGCAGCAGTCAAGGGGTCGATGTGTGATACGTGGGCGTACCTCGGCAGCCTGACGCAGCAGACGGTGGCGCTGAAGGAGATCCGTCTGCAGGAGGAGGAGGGTGCCCCCTTCACCGCCATCCGCGAGGCCAGCCTGCTCAAGGAGCTGAAGCACGCCAACATTGTCATCCTCCACGACATCATCCACGCCCGCAATGCTCTCACCTTCGTCTTCGAATACGTGGTGAGTGGCCGGCGAGGATGCAGGTCCCGGGGAAGGGGACAGGGAACGGGAACGTGCGGGCTCCTGGGCTCTGGGCCCGGGTACCATGAGACAGCGATGACCCTACCGGTTAGCACGGGCACCAAATATCCAGGGCAGTCAGTGCGCCCTAAAGCTCAAATCATCATCGCTCCCGGTTATCATGGCTGCACTTTGTGAGAGCAATCATCCGGCTGGGCCATGCATTGCAGGTTATAGCTCACTGTTGCGTGGGATATCGTTGCAACTTGCCAAACGCAAGGTTTTGGTTGATTCCGTCTTGAGGTGTGGGGCCCATTCCGTTGCAGTGCTGCTGCTTGGTTATGGGCCTCGCTCGGACCCCCCGGTTGCCGCTATGATGATGGTCATCTTGCAGTTCAATACGTCTTCTTGACGGTAGCCTCGACCGTTCCCAGGCGGTTTGAAGCCGCAGCCAGTGCTGTTTGTACATACACGATGCTTGCAAACATCGTCCTACTTGATTAACCCTACCAGTGCCCTGGAACTGCGGTGCCACGCCCCTCCGCTGTGATCTCGTGACTCGTGGCCCCGACCGCTACCGGCCGTGTCCCTGCTGTCTCCACCTGGGATGTCCCATCGCTTCCCCTGCAACGCCGTGTCTTATGCCTGCCCCTGCTATCGCCCAGCGCACCGCAGCCGTGCCCCTGCCGCCCCCTGACCCGCCGCAGCCCCTGTCCCGCGGCAGCCGTGCCCCCGCCGCCCCTGCCCCGCCTCAACCATGCCCCTGTCACCCTTTGCCTCTCCGCAGCCGTGCCCCTGTCACCCTCTGCCCCGCCGCAACCATGCCCCTGCCGCCCCTGCCCCGCCGCAACCATGCCCCTGCCGCCCCTGCCCCGCCGCCGCCGTGCCCCTGCCGTCCCTGCCCCGTTGCACCCCTGACAGCTGCCGGCTGGGCAGCACACGGACCTGTCGCAGTACCTGGAACAGCACCCGGGCGGCCTGCACGGCCGCAACGTGCAGCTGTTCATGTACCAGCTGCTGCGCGGCCTCAGCTACTGCCACGCCCGGCGCATCCTGCACCGCGACGTCAAGCCGCAGAACCTGCTCATCTCGCAGATCGGCGAGCTTAAGCTGGCTGACTTCGGTGAGAGCGGGCTGACGCCCGTACGCCGGGGCGTGGTCTGCGGCGTCGCGGGGTCTCAGGGGCGGACGGGTGGCCAGGCTCGGCGGCGAGGCGCTGTCTCCAGGGCAGCCGGAGACTCGTCAGGGAGGAGGTGGTTCCCCCAGGGGAGCTGGAGGGGCTATCAGAGGCACAGCCGTTTTCAGACGCGGTGGTGTGGCGGTTCAGCGGCTGAATGATGAATACAGTATTGATTAATGGAACAGTGCAGCATTGCAAAGATGAATGCAACCACGCAGCATTGCAACAGCTGTTAAATTGGTTTTAAAATGGTATGTATTACCTTAAATGCGCTTCGGTAAGTCACGGTTAGTATGTCATCCGTCAGAACCATCTGCGCTGTAGTATGACTTAAGATGGGAAAGGTAAAACAATGTTACAGTGTCTTGATGCCCTTCTTCATTTGCCTGTTGGCCTACTTAACACAGGCAGGATTGGCCATCAGCATTTGTGCACTTTTAGACAATGTGTGCTGTCTGTCTGCTGAGTACGCTGTTTCGTCTGCCTTTGTGGGAGGCTGCGTTAGAATATAGCTCACATCCAAGCTTCGGGTAATAGCCGGCTTGTTAACAATCATAATAGTAATTGCCTGTAAAAAAATCAGTCGTATTTTACAGCATAAATGAGCTAGAGCTTATATATATGGTGCCGGTAGTGTAGTGGTTGACGCGTCTGCGTTAACCACTGCGCGTCTGGGAAACCAGAGGTACGGGGTTCGATTCCCCGCGGCGCCCGCCCTTCCTGCCAGGGTGAGAGACAGGCGACGCCATATAGCCCCAGCAGCTGAGTGCGTCGTAAACCCCCAATGACATGACACTCACCAGAGCTAGAGCTTATAGCGCCATTGAGGTGGAGCGACGTTGCCATGGCAACGGGTCAGCGCGGCTGACAGTCGCCGCGTATTGTGTGAACTCTCCCCAGACGAACTGCTGGCACGGCCCCGGATCCAGCGTCGCTGCTGCTGGCCGCCGCTCGCGCTCACCGTACTCGTTGTATATGTGCGGACGGTTACGGCGTCGTCGCCGCAGGCCGCACGAGAGCCCGTGCCGCCCAGGCTGACGCTCCTAGTGTTCTGCGGTGGGGACGATGAGGCGTCGAGGAACGGCGGGACATGGCTGGGGAGGGGAGGGGGCGGAGCAGAGTGGGGGAGGAGGCTGGCGGACCGATGGAGATGGGAGTTGGACATGTGCAGGTGATGGCATCGTTTGGATCGGCCCGGTAACTCGTCACACATTACTTCTAGCTGACACACACGTGACCCACTGGGTTAATGACACGCTGTTTCCGTTGTCAGGTTTGGCACGGGCCAAATCGGTGCCGAGCCACACGTACTCTCACGAAGTGGTGACGCTGTGGTACCGGCCGCCGGACGTCCTGCTCGGCTCCACAGGTGAGCCAGCGGTGGCCGCGTCACCCCCTCTGACCTCACACGGCCCGGACCGCCGGATGGGAGGTGAGGTGGTGGGGTGTTGACCCTTCCAGTGCCCTGTTCTGCCAGACTGCACCACCTCGTTGGGCATGTGGGGTGGGACGTTGACCCCACCGGTGCCCTGTTCCACCACACTACACCACTTCGCTGGACATGTGGGGTGGGATGTTGACCCTTCCTCTGCCCTCCTCCGCCAGACTACACCACCTCGCTGGACATGTGGGGCGTCGGCTGCATCTTCCTCGAGATGATCTCGGGCGTGCCGTGCTTCCCGGGCGTGCGCGACGTGGCCGACCAGCTGGACAAGATCTTCCGCGTGACGGGCACGCCGGACCCGCGCTCGTGGCCGGCGCTGCTCTCGCTGCCGCACTACCGGCCGGAGCGGCTGGCGCAGCACCGGCCGCGCCGGCTCGGCGCCGCCTTCCCCCGGCTGGCCGAGCTGAGTCACGCAGAGCCGCTGGCCGCCCGCCTCCTGCACGTGAGTCCATCGCGGGTGAGGGGCTCTCGAAGGGGAAGGGGCCGGCCGCAGTCCGGACATGGTCGCGTTCTGGTTCGCTTGTGTGAGCTGTGATGCATCCGATATTTGCGGTCGGTGTGGTGAGATCGTAGAGGCGAGGACGTTTCTCGTATGTTTTGTTTCAAAACGTGCTTTCTGGACCACGTATGCGATGTTTTTGCTCACCACTTCATGACGAGTTGTCCGGTATTTATCCTCGCCCGCAATCTGCTGTACCGAGTTGACCGGTATTTATCCTCGCCCGCAATCTGCTGTGCCGAGTTTTCCGGTATTTATCCTCGCCCGCAATCTGCTGTACCGAGTTATCCGGTATTTATCCTTGCCCGCAATCTGCTGTACCGAGTTGTCCGGTATTTATCGTCGCCCGCAATCTGCCGTACCGAGTTGTCCGGTATTTATCCTCGCCCGCAATGTGCCGTACCGATTTGCTTTGCCGTGAATGCGTGTCGCCCTGCGTCCCGATCTGAGTGCGTCTGACGCCGGCCGACGCCCCACCGACAGCTGGCGCCGGAGCAGCGCATCACCGCCGAAGAGGCGCTGGGGCACGCCTACCTGGCCGATCTGCCGGCGGCGCTGGCCGCCCTGCACCCCTCGCAGAGCGTCTTCAGCGTGCCTGGCGTGCGACTGCACAGCGAGGCGACTCAGTTCGCGCCGGTCGTGCTCAGGGTGGCGCACGAGCGACGCCGTAGGCATTAGTACGCCGCTGGCCGCCAGGGGCGCGGAGGGCGCCGACGCGCCACCCGCCGGCCCCGTTCAGTCTAGTCACGGGCGGGGACGAGTGTGATGTTCCGTAGCGACGGTGGACCGTCATAGAGCAGTCTGCTTGTTCCGGCCAAAGAAACTGCCTGTGATGGCGATTTTCTAGTCAGCTGTTGCGATGACGGTGAGGAGCAAGGTCGTGTTGTGTGGCGCGGGGCTGTCGCTGACCGGACGCTGCCATACCGGCGGAAAGCGGCGGTACGCGCGGCAGGAGGACACTGTGTGCTGTCCATTTGTGCACTCCTTCCAGCCGAGCGCCTCGGGGTTGACTGCTCTGTCTTTTGGGGATGACCCCCAGGACCAAAGACAACCTTCGGCGACCCTTTTTCTCTTTCTCCTGTGTGCTGTCGATTTTGTGTTAGTGGCATTCGCGAGGCTCGTCGTGTTCTCAGTGTCTTGCAATGTCCCAGATCTCCGGTTTTGATACAGCGTCCCGCTCAGTAGTCGGTCGGGCGCGCCGCCCCGCTTCATCCCGCCGTGCCACGCTAGTCGTTCGATCTCTGCGATGTGAAAGCCTGCCGCGCCGAACGGTGCGGTGTTGAGTTTCGACATTTTAGCCTGCCGCATGCGTGCCAACGCGCAGGCCAGCGCTTGCCCGACGTGCGCAGCCGAGGCGGAGACGGCTAACTCTGCTCGGCTTGTAGCGCGTCTTGGTTTACAGGGTACCGTGCGTTCTCATCCCCAGTTCTAGTGCGGAGCACCCATGGTGAGGCCTCCTTTTGGCGCGACCCGACATGCCACAGGTTGGCAATACTGACCAACGATGCGTGGCCGGTCTGAGCGACATCGAAGCGCTCCGGTCAGTGTCGGTTCCGGACTCGGTCCGATAGATGTCTCTAGTGCCGGACCGACTGCCGCTTGTGGGTATGTGAGTGCGGTCCACTTGTCATCGCGAATGTCGAGCTGGACAGGTTGGTGAGAATGTTGAGCACGCTAGCATGACGTCATTGCGCTTTATGCACTTTGGGCTTAGGCTGGTTTTCGAAATAGAATCTTCAGCGCATACTTGGTTTTAACTTACCGTTGCGATGTGTTCAACGTACCGTTGCGTGTTCGGGCGTGCATTGCGGGTGTCGTCCTGCTAGTGGAGTCTCGGCGCGGATGTAACCTAATTTATCATGCTTGATCCTAATCAGGTCTTGCGTACTGGGGCCTGCGCGAACCGGCCTTCGTGGCTGCTGGGTCGAGGGTGGGCTGGGCGGGGTTGCGAACAAGCGCCAATGACCTGACCCAGACCGCACTGTCAGCTAGCCGCTTCGAAGTGTTCAACCCGGCTGCTGCGGACATTTTCATTTATTTCGAGACATCGGGCGTGTTTGAGAGCAAAAACGGTTTGTGGTCGATCCCGAAAACCGTGGCGAGTAAGGCAGGCAACATGACAACAGGAGGCCACTGAGCGTGCAAGGATGATACCTAACGTGGGCTGCGCATCGCCATTTAACTTAAACTGTTGGCTCGATGGGGACAGGGCACTACCTTTTCAAGCGGGCCTGACACGAGCCTCGAAGCATGTGGCTGCTCAGGCGGGCCGGGGTCGGAATATGCCACGTACTGCACTCAGCAAGGAGGCAGGGCGAGTGACCAGCTTAGTGAACCGCTCGTCATTTGTAAAGAGCGCATCGCACAGTCATCGGTGCGCTTGGCTGTGGTGATGCATCGAGAAATGCGGACATGCATGAAAGGATCCTTTGGACTATTTGAAGTGGCCCAACAACGACGGGTCCTTCGGCTTGTGCGTCACATATCCTCGCGCAAATAGGTTGACTCCCGCGAAATGTTTTAATGCGACGGCGCCAGCAGCGGTGCGCACTCTTTCACTGGCATTCGGGGGGAGCAGATGGCAGGGCCTGTCGGAACGCTATCTGTGTTGGTTTTCGAGGCGGTGGAAGCTTGTTTCAAGGCGATCCGGGAAAAGGACTTCATGATAGATATCAGCGACGGCCACCGGCTGCTGTACGATCTGGTCACCGCCGTCCCGCGAGGAGCTGTTCGGTGTCGCAGCGCCCGTTCCCATCCCCTCCCTGTCCCTTTCACGACAGTCAGCCGAACCAAGATGTCATGCCCCCTCCCCCCGTCAAGATAACTTCGGCCAGGTAGTTATGACACCCTTATCACGATTCATTTGCACCCATGACCAACGAGGCGCTTAAATAAAAAGAAACCACTAAATGAATGAGATGATGTTTCTTTGCGCCAGGACGCACTGCGAGCCACGGGATTCCCACTACCAAAGGAAGGCGTCGTCGACGTCTCCCCGTCTCCCTGTCGGGTGCACCGGCTGGAATTCCCACGGCAATGACATCAGCTGTACAACAGAAAGGCAGCGCGTCCCACATAATTCGCCTACCCCGTGTGTGTGGAATGGGCTCGTCCAGGCATTCATGACGTCAGCGGCTGACTTAAGCAGCCAATGAGCGAGCCCTCGTTGCTTTTCATTGCTGGGAAAAACAGTGACTGGACCGCGCGTGGTACTGAGCACGGGGCTGCTGAGTCGCGAATCTCGCACAGCCCCGTTCATTTGCAAACCCTGTACTTCTCGCGCGGGACGGGCGGACGCCTGCGCGGTTACGGAGTGTTGATCCGATTGAGTCTCTGGTGGCTGCTCCATTGTTAGGAAGTTCCTGCTTATCTGGGGCGTCTGGAAACACTGGAAAAAACGTGGGTAAGTCGAAGCCCTGCATTGTATGAATGTATCTTAAGACACACTAACGCTGGTTAGCGCACGTGCCCAGTTTCCGAAGACCCTTGCTAATCTGGCAACCTTTATGATACGATTTGTAAATGTCGCTAATACGACAAGCGTTCGACCGTTGTTATCAATCTGAGGGAAAGCAATATGCAACTGCTGACGGGATCCACAGGGGAAATAATTTGACAGCTGAACGTGCTATATCTGCCAGGACGTCTGGAACGCGCCGATGCACTGGTGCGGCCTGTTCCGCATGGCGGTCGTGTTGCGGAACAGTATGGCGTCAAATTAGATCTCAGAGGGTATGGTGCAGCAGTCATTGACGGATCCAGAGTTCCGTCAAGGGAGAGACCGCACTTAATTGCGGTGTTCCCTCCACCTCAGCGTCCCCCTCCAAGCGCGGTCAATTTTTCTAAACGGGCTAGGGTATTGGTGGTGCGGAACATGCACCTGCTATTAATACGACCACCACATGCATGTTCCTCATTAAATTTGTGCCTACGGTGCGCGTAAATTTCCGTTGAACTGATGCATGTCATACCATGTAACCTGGTTTAATTTCATAAGGGAGTTTTCATCAGCATATAAATTGAATGCAGGGAAACGAAAGACGTTGGGCAGATATGTTTGTGTCTCGGCAAATACGTGTACCTACTATGTCTAGCCCTCCACGCGCTCATGAGATGTTTCCTGATAAAAATCTAAAAATTAAGTGGCCGAAATCAGAACTCTCTCCCAGGGAGAGAGGTGGGGGGGGGGGGGGAGGTGCAAGGGAGGGGATGTGTTTGTCTTAATATTTGGTGCTTTCAAGGGCTGGACGTTTTGACATGTTAGGAACTGCTCCATTCGGAACCACTGCACTCCTGAGCTATGCGTTTTGAGATGACTGGTCGGCAGATCGGTGTGATCGTGCAGTCTAAGCCAACTCATGTACATGTATGCTGGGATATTTGTGTGGGCTTAGGGAAGAGATCTCTGAAATACGTATCACAGGTTTGGTGCGACTCAAATTTATTTACTTTCTGTCTCACAAACATAAGGCGCGGAGGAACGCAGAATGTCAAACTTAGCTGGCTATCCGGAGGGAATGCAATAGTGCAGCTAGTGGGTGTAAGCTATGACGCCAAAGTAACTACGCTCTACCTGACTGGTACAGTGGGGACAAAGACCAGTAACCATCAGCCGGTAAGACCCGGGCCCCCTAACAACTTGCGTGGCATGCTCACAGCGAGAACCCTTCCCTTCGCGGCCAAGCTGGATTGCACGAGGCCTGACATAACAGCACTGCACCGGTGTGGTGAGAAAGTGGGCCTCGTTGCCTGCTGTGCATTCCCCTCCAAAAAGGTATTCATCGTTTGCACATTAGCCGGTCGCACCACGGCCTTTTACCGAGGCAGCCGGAGCTATCTTGATCGGGTCGGGGTGACGTAACTTTGCTTCGTGCCCCGATGGGTCGCTGCATTTGGCTCGCCGCGCGGCGTCGGGCGGGATCATCGGCGCGACCGTTATGATAGGTGTTGCGATGTGTCGAAACTGTGCTCTCCTCTCGAACCATGAATGGCTTTCATTTACGTGTTATGTGTATTGAATGGCGCCGTTGCCAATAAATAATCCTTCAAATGGAAATACATGGAGAACACAGTGAAATTACATTTTTACCTCTCCAAGTGACAAAAAGGTTTTCATTTGTAGGACAGTATCGTTTTCTGTTAAGGAAGCGAATCATTGTTTCTTGCCAGTCTATCATATGTGCGCAATAGCTTAATAAGCATATTGAATATTTTTAACCATAGCACATATTGACTGATCAAAATCTGGGAGATAGCGGTGTAGATTCAACACCTCGACCGGAAGATCCACCCTATCACACCTCACGCGATTATTTCTACAATATCGAGGAGTGGGTGGGGCCAGGAGTCGCGAGCGTTCAGTCAAACAAGAGGCGCACTTCTTGGAAGTTAGCTCTGCGGGCGTGTTCACGATGGAGAGGAAGGTTGCCTTCTCCCTGATAGTCTTCCTCAATCGGATAGCCCCATCTGTCCGTTCTGTTCGCCCTGAATGTGGTCGACGGAGCGGGTTTTAGCTGAGCCGCAAACCAGTCTGGGGAAACGCGTGAACCGAGGTCATGCAAGGCTTAAGGTCGGGGACCGACCCACTCACGCCAGGGCTGTCCCCATGCCGGCGACGCACCGGTGTCAGTGGGAGCTGCAGGGCGTAACTGTGTCAGACAAGCCGCCGCTGCAGCCTGCAGTACCATGTAATAGCCGACCCCGCCGTAGGAGCTGCCCTAAAATAAAAGGTGTTGTTTTGGTTGCACTCCTAGACTTTTTAAAATAGTGACCAAAATGCGTAGGGGTCGGGTATGTCATTTGTACCCGAGAAGGTCCAACGAAGCAGTCGGGTGCAGTCGCACCCTAGGGGGACCTCGGTTCCCGGGCTTCTTTCCCCTGTAAACACGGTCATTTCGGTGCCGTTACGTTCGATCAGAAGGCCTGAAGGCTCATGTCCGATTAGGACGCCTTTGTCACAGTCAAAAGATGCGCCACAAACCCCGGGCAGAGTGTCACCTAAGATAAGCCCAGGTGAATGAGCGACGCTAAACCCAGACGTAAACGGGCCACCGAGACCCAGGTCATGCCTTTGGGTAGCTCACAAAATTTATGCACGGTTGCAGACGTCACCGTAAAATTCCGCGACCTTCACATACTTCCCATAATAGAACCAGCAATCTGGGCCTCAACTTTTACTGTTCACTTAGTTATAATTTTGTATCCCATTGTTAGCTAAGCGGCTTAGAGGGCTCTGGGCGACCTGTCCAGCCTCAGTGTGCACCTAAAAAGAGCGAAAAGAACCCTATCCCTTCAGTCTGGAGGCGGTACTGAGGTTGTGAAAGTTCGCTAGCCTGTTCGCGAGGACGTGGTTCCTGAAGTTATCCCAAAACATGAACTCCGGAGGCGACAGGTCGGTCGGTTGCGAAGTCGAATGCCGGCTATGCCAATGAGCATATCAGCCAAATGATTCTCGACCAAATCCAGTGAAGCCCGTGCCCTGTTCGGTGATGCCTCGTCCGATCAACACCGTGAAATGACCCTGGGGCCGCCCAGAGGGGAATCAGAGCGGTGGCTGAAGTTACTCTAGGGCCGCCCAGAGGGGAATCAGAGCGGTAGCTGAAGTTACCCTGAGGCCGCCCGGAGGGGAATCAGAGCGGTGGCTGAAGTTACCCTAGGGCCGCCCAGAGGGGAATCAGAGCGGTAGCTGAAGTTACCCTGGGGCCGCCCAGAGGGGAATCAGAGCGGTGGCTGAAGTTACCCTGGGGCCGCCCGGAGGGGAATCAGAGCGGTGGCTGAAGTTACCCTGGGGCCGCCCGGAGGGGAATCAGAGCGGTGGCTGAAGTTACCCTGGGGCCGCCCAGAGGGGAATCAGAGCGGTGGCTGAAGTTACCCTGGGGCCGCCCAGAGGGGAATCAGAGCGGTAGCTGAAGTTACCCTGAGGCCGCCCGGAGGGGAATCAGAGCGGTAGCTGAAGTTACCCTGGGGCCGCCCGGAGGGGAATCAGGGCGGTAGCTGAAGTTACCCTGAGGCCGCCCGGAGGGGAATCAGAGCGGTAGCTGAAGTTACCCTGAGGCCACCCGGAGGGGAATCAGAGCGGTGGCTGAAGCTACCCTGAGGCCGCCCGGAGGGGAATCAGGGCGGTAGCTGAAGTCACCCTGAGGCCGCCCGGAGGGGAATCAGGGCGGTAGCTGAAGTTACCCTGAGGCCGCCCGGAGGGGAATCAGAGCGGTAGCTGAAGTTACCCTGAGGCCGCTCGGAGGGGAATCAGAGTGGTGGCTGAAGTTACCCTAAGCCCGCCCAGAGGGGAATCAGGGCGGTAGCTGAAGTTACCCTGAGGCCGCCCGGAGGGGAATCAGAGCGGTAGCCGTGTGGCGCTCTGAGTTGGTGTTGATAAGATGATCGTTCTCGTCCTGAAAGAGGCATCGATTTGACGAATGTGAAGTCAAGAACGACCACCATTTGCTCTTTTAACACGCTTTGTCATTGACTGGCTATTCGAATGGCACCGCAGTCCTAACTGTGTGAGAAGCAGACTTGCCACTGTCGAGTAGAACGTGAGTTAATGCCATGTGGTCAGCCTTGTATGAATGGGTTTTCATCTATACTAAATCGGTTTACTTCACCATTCTAATATGACGTATTATTAAACTGAGAACACGCCGCACAATCGGTACACCTCACTCAGTGTCCCGTGTATCCGTTCTCCCGGAAAGGAAGGATGCTTTGGCATATCTAAGCTCGCAAGAGTGCGGACCAGAAGATATACACAACGCTCTGTCCACTTGTGTTGCAGGCACTGTTTTCTTAGTAGTCCTGAGGCGTGCGGAGCGTAATGGCATGTGATTGGGGCGAACGTGAGTTTTCTATGTTGCCGAACCTTTCGATCGGATGCATTTCTGGGATCTGCGGGCACGCAGAGCAGTGTTTATTTGTTTACCCTCGTTGGAACGTAAAATTCTGGGCCAAAGGCGGCACTTGGCGCAAAAGTTTAACGTGCTGCACCGCTTGGCACCGTCCGTCCTGCTGTCTGTGAGATGACCTGACCGTTAGCGCCACCGCTGCCACCGGCCACAGGCCAGCCCGTTCGAGCACAGATAGCGAACGCCTGAAGCGACTCCGGCCCACCCGCCGCTGGTCTGTGAATCTCAAGGCGGGCACTCCAGCCAGCTGAGCCATCGGGACGGACTCGAGTACATTGCGAGGTGGGGCGATTGAAAGTACAGCTCGGTGGTGTATCTTCCACCTGGTTGTACCACAAAAGTACAGTTCGGGGTGTATCTTCCATTTGGTTGTACCACAAAAGGGGTTGTCGATGAATGGAGCGGCACATTTTGCGTGGTGTGTCCCGCAGGGAGATAATTTTTGTGGGTGGTGTTGATCGGTTTGCGGAGAAATGTGGCATAAACAATGCTTTCTTTCTTT